CGCGAGCGTGGGGGTATACAAGCAGACACCAAACAAGTATCAGAAAACAAGATGATATTAAGAAAAATATAGTTCATATCATAGAGAATTCATTAATGTAACTCAACGCCTTTTCCGCAATTCAAATTATATTAAACACATCGTAACAATTGGATGTCATATAGACAATAATCAGTAGATAAAGCTGAGGCAAAAAGCAAACATGTGAACCTCTACAAAGCCAGGCATTTTGAGTTCAAATCAGTAACAGCAGATCACCTAACATAAATTTGCTGTTTCCTAAATCATATATCGACCAAATATGGGAAACCTGGTTTTGTAATCGTAGTTACCAAGCATACATGTTCTTGTTTGCTGATGAACACATCACGAACAAATCATTCACATAGAAGTCTTTTAACAAGCTACAGATTTACTGTATCGGAAACATAAATTCCGGACTAGAAACAACAGAACTTGATCATCTAGGCAATAAACAACAACGTGATCCCGAGGTAATATCCCACAGATCTCTCAAACCCATGGGTTACTCTCAGTCACTCCTAGCTCCATCTCCTTCCCCACCTTCTTTGACATCAATAGTAAAATTATACTCTTGATCACATCCCAAGTAGGAATCGCACATGAAATAAATCATATATGATTTCTCTCCAACTTCAGTTGGGGCATCAAACACAAGCTTCACCTTTGATCTCCTCTGCAGCGATACCCTCTTAATTGCAACCAACTGATTAGTCCCAGTATCACCCACAACAAGCCACCAGCCTTCATCCTTTTCCTTCGGGTACCTAGGAGCATACACTCGTCCGATCTCTGAAGGAGACTGGCCTTCAAGTTCACGCTCCAAGGTAACTTGCAGCGTAACATTCTCCTTGGGCCTAATATCATCAGCATCAAGCACTTCATAGCTCATATCAATGTTAGGGAATCGATTGCAAAAGTGTGCAATTTCAGACAACTGGGTATCTGACATTTGAAGCAACTGACGTCTATCATCATCATCCATCTCTGCAAGATCGAAGATTGTCTCAATACTACCCTTAGGGTGTTCTTGACATCTCTTGGCCAATTCTTTAGTGAAGTGAGGGAGTTGTAGAAGCATTGAGTCTCTCTCCCACATTCCTTGAGTTACCATTTGGCTAAGCTCCATTGCAGTCAGAGCGAGGTTTAACCACCCGTTACTAGAGATTACATCTACCATGGCCTGAAGCAATCTGTGAGCAGAAAGGAGGACCTCGCGCTGATCTGCTGCTAAGTTTCCAACTACCGTATGCCTTGAGAAATGAGCTTGAAGCAAAGCATTAGACTTCACATGTGGATCACTACACTTCGGATTCTCAAAGGAGAACCTCTGATGATTGATCAGTTTTCTTATCTGCTCTTCTTCCCCTGGTCTAATTGGAAGCTCAGCATATTCAGAAGCTGACGCCAAAATATCAAGAAGACCCTTCATCTTGGTCTTTGGTGTTAATGATGAGCTGAATCGTTCTATAGTTGTGTAACTGATGTAATAATATGAAGCGATCAGGCCAAGGTTCGATGCTTTGAGATACATATCCTCTTCAATAACCACACATTTGCTCGCTTCGAGATCGCTCAACGTGTTCTCTATTAGATCTGACAGATGATCAGAGAGATGCCTGTGGCTAACACCCTGGAGATTGTAGTAATTAGGGTTCTTCGTGAGCCTTCGATACATGAATGTCCAGGTGAGATAGTCGACGGCATCTTGCTTGTTCTCTATAACTCCAACGACTACTTCAGCATTCAAATGGTCATGGAGGAAGTGATGGAGATGGCTCTCAACAGGGAATGCTTCATAGAGGAATTTCTTGTAGTATTCCTTACGAGGAGCATGGCAAAGGATGACACATTTTCCTGAGTTGTCTACAAGAGGACGACTTGCATGGCCCATCATTTGTAGTAAATCGGTGATCGGGTAGTCAGTATGAGCATTTTCTCGCCCATCATAGTATTGGGTTCCCATTACCACAACCAAGTGAGCTGGCATTGGCTTTCCCCAGCACATCGAGCTGCTTGATACACATACTTGAATTCTTCCACCAACAAACAAGTTCAGAACTATATCCTGATCACTGGCGCTAAGCCCTTCATGCAAATACCCAACACCTAGAGGGAGAGTCCTCTTCAAGGTGTCATCCTTGATTGCTAAAAGGAAAGTACCTATCTCTTCATCTGATCCGAGAAGAAATGAAGGCTTATCACCGTCAGCAGTTGAGTAAGAACACAGATCCACTGCAGTAAGTCTTGCATGTTTCCTTGTAGGCACAAACACAAGGGCAGGCTTGCCATTTTTGGCATGCTGGACAACTGCGGTGTATGTTGGCTTTGCCATGGCCTGCATTCTCGCTTCGAAGTTTGCAATATCTACACCTTGAATATGTATTTCTAAAGGCACAGGGCGAACACCAGGTGGGAAATTGAAGAGTCCATGAGAAGTTGCACCAATCCATTCACCAAGATCCTTGGCATTGGCAAGTGAAGCTGAAAGCGCTACTATTCTGATATTACTCCCAATATGACTAGCGATACGCCTCATTCTTGAAACTATTATCTCCAAGACGGGACCAATTTGTCCGCCAATCAAATGGAGCTCGTCCACAATAAAGAGGCTAACCTGTTGTACATGTTTTCTCTGCTTCCACCGACGAGAGAGAGCGTCCCATTTCTCAGGAGTGCTGATAATGATGTTGCCTCGCTCAAGAGACTTCAAATCTGTTGCTGTCTCACCAGTTAACTCCACAACATTCATTCCTAAACCTTTCCCAAACTTCTCGCTCCATTCACGGTACCTTTCTTTTGCCAGGGCTTCAATAGGAGCAATATATACTGCCCGCATGGGATTTTCTGGCCCCCTCTGGAGATTCCGCAACAAGGCAAACTCTGCACATATGGTCTTCCCACTGCCTGTTGGAGCTGCAACCAACACATTGTCATCCGTGTTGTACAGGACTGTGAAAACTTGCGTCTGGATGGGATTGAAATGCTTGAATGTAGCATAGAGACTCTCGTACTTGGGGTTTCTTAATGCAGTCACAGGTAGAGGCTGCAAGTCCAGAAGCTCAGTTGGTGGTGGGTACTTCTCTGGTAATATCAAATGCCTAAAACAGACTGGCAACACTGTATGAGAACCAAGCCATTTATCTGACACCACTCGGATAAAGTATTGAGGAGGCAGTGGCTCATAAATCGGCACCGTGAAATTTAAAGTGTGGTCTTCTTCAATATATTGCTTCTTAAGCATGAAGTACTCATGATGCAAGATGTACTCCCCATCATTATCCTCAACAATGACCCAAAATGGCTCAACGTAGCCATGGACTTTATCATCCCATTGGAAATCAGGAGTTATGGTCAGCTCAAAACCCAAGATTGTGCGAGTGATAGGCTGGACATGAGCTGCAAGGTTTACCTTGGGGAGCTGGTGTATGCATTTATGGAGTTGTCTCCCCATCTTCTGGTAACGAATCAGCTCTCCTATTTCTTGTGAGGAGAGATCATAGTACCTTTCCCAGGCCAAATCCTTTTTCTCAAGCTTCATCAGTATTTCATTTGGTATGCCATGGAACTGACGCAATGGAGTCTGGACGCTCCAGATTCGCTTGTCAACCATCTTGCACAGATTCTGAGCCTTCTCAGCCAATTGGGCCCAACCCCTCTTCAGAACGATCTCAAACAAAGCTCGTAGAAGACGACCGGCACTCTGCCAAAAACAATTTAGATGGAAGTCAAAAATCGGATTTAACCATATGGAATTATTTGACTTACACGGAAAAGGCATGGAGACTTCTTATTATCAGGGTAAAAGAAGACAGACCTGTCTAATGTAGACCATATCAGATGTCAGGGAAAGTCCTTCAAGCTTTAGCCTTGAGATGTATGCCTGCAGAAGAACATTAATCTTTGCACTCGGCTCTTCGACACTTTCTTTGACAGGAATAGGCACCCGCTCAAAGAGCTTTGCCAACTCCAATTTTTCATCTTGTCTAACAGAGACATATTTAAATTCTTCACTGAGGGAGAACAACCGAAACAGCTCAATATCCCCCATTGTTGGCTTCAGGTACTCATTGTAAGTAGATATTGTTCCATGAGTTATATAGTAATAACTGGCAATTCTACCCAAATCAGTGACCTGGAAGTACCCACTCTTCCTGTCGTACTTGACCAAATTATTTTTATCCAATATACTAGCAGCAGAATGGATCTGCAATTACAGTAAAGCACCAGTTACCTCACATAAACAAAAATAGATAAAGTTGGATTAAAAATGAATAGTGGAACCCAAAAGTATTTCATTCCTCGTTAATTGCTTTCATTTTTTCATTTTAGAAATAAAGGACCTATTGCATATTATACCAGACCATAGAAAACTAGCAGCTTATGCAAGTTTTAGAAGAGTATCAATCAATAAGTGGAATACCAATGCATTTTACCAAACCATCAAAAATGAACTGCAAGCTAAAAATGGATTGCATATATGTTAAGCTATAATTTTATTTACTACTATACAGCCCTTCACTAAATTTTCAGGTAAAGTCTGATATACAGCAACAGTTTTTACAGTGGTTTCCATTCCAACCTCGCAATTTATAATTATCCATGTGTTTATCTATCACTATTTTCCAGCTTTCAAGTCATGTTTAAACTGGACAAGAGGCCTTTCTACATGACTCGCAGACCCACATCGGGGGGAGCATTAAGTTTCGCATACATCATTAGTGAATGGTCCAATGATCAGAAACTCAAAAGCACCAGATGATGAGGGAACAATCAATCAGAACAACATGAATTAAATATCTTCTAAATCGGGCAGATGTATACACCAATAAGAATGGTTGGAACATATAATAAAACTGCTTTAAAAAGTGTAAGAACTAGCAGCAGAGAGTAGAAAGATGGGCTAAAAAGCTGAGAAGATATAAGAACTAACACCAGATAAAGCAGAGCATAAGATGCAGATATTAATCTATATCCTGACTCAACGAGCTACACCGAAAGTAATACCATATGCAAAATGTGACCTGAGTGGTGACGGTCACATTGTAGTGGATGCTCAAATCCTTGGCAAAATTATTGATGTAAAAAGAATTAGATTTTTTTAAATATTTAACATGATTGAATCCCAGGCACAAGCAGGGAGGCTTTGGACACAGAAACATATCTACGGGCGCTTGCATGTATAAGCAAGAAGTAACATGTTATGCAAGCAATAAAATAGGCTGATCAAACTGCTTACCAGATCAGCTCTCCTTTCCTCCAAGGTTTTGTCTCGATCAAGTATATCAGGAGGTAAACCATAGAGAGTAGGGTTTCTCAACATCCGGATATACAAGTAAGTATACCCAATCCAGGTACAAGCTTCTCGAGCATTCTGAACAGTTCCCAACACAATCTCTGCATTCAGCTGATCGGCTAATTGTGATACAAATTGGCTCTCAATAGGCAGCTGTTGATTCATGAGCGAGAGATAATACTGTAATTCACTGTGTCCTGTTAAGATTATTCCTTCTCCATAAGAATCATATTGTGGCCTTCCCGCCCTACCAAGCATCTGCATCACATCCAAAGGACTGAGCTCTGTCCATGCTCCTTTCTCCGGATTATATATCTGTGTCCCTTTGATAATGACGGTATGAGCTGGAAGATTGACACCCCAGGCAAGTGTTGCTGTTGAGACTAACACCTGAACATGCCCATCAGCAAAAAGGTCCTCAACTAGCGTACGATCCACCCGCGCCATCCCTGCATGATGGATAGCAAAGCCATACGGCAAAAGATCCTTGAGATCATTGCTTTTTACCAACTCCGTTTGACTCTGAAGGATCTCCCTGCTTGCACTATCATCCTTAAGAAACTTACTCAAAGTATCATTAGCCAAAGCCGTGTCTCTTATCGCGCGTGCAGTTTTGGCTGTTTCCTTCCTCGAGTGGACAAAGATAAGCACTTGGTGTTTGCCAGCAGCACTCAGAACTTTCTCATAACAGATATCATTCATCAACTGAAACCTCTGGAGAGGTTTCTTTACAGTAATTCCAATATACTGCTGTTGTAGAGGGCAAGGTCTATAGCTGTTATCAAAATGGAATAGACCTTTCGACGGATGAACACGCAAGAATAATGCCACATCTTCATAGTTTGGGAGAGTAGCTGACAACCCAACAAGTCGGATATGCTCCTTGGTTGTCTCAATTTGTCTAACTGTCCTTGCAACAATGCTCTCAAGCACAGGCCCTCGGTTATCATGAAGAAGATGGATCTCATCAATAATAAGAAGCCTAACCATTTGAGTGTATGTTCTATCCCCAGATTTTCTGGTAACAATATCCCATTTCTCAGGTGTTGTAACAATTATCTGTGTTTCTTCAATTTGTTGGCGTGTAAGAGTCTGATCTCCACTAAGTTCCCTCACAACAACATTAAATGATTCGAGACGTTTGGACAAGTTACCTACAACCTCAGCTACCAAAGCCTTCATAGGTGCCACATATACAATTTTATATTTTGTGTTATCCACTACGCCATCCTTCATATGTAGACCAATCTCATGAAGAATAGTCAACATAGCTACATTTGTTTTTCCAGCACCAGTTGGAGCACACAGGAGTATGTTTTCAGGTGAGAAAAGAGCGGTCTCATAGACTTTACTCTGCACTCTGTTCAGTTGCTTCATCCCTTCAAAAGCTGGCTGCGCCCAACCAGGCATTGCGGTTATCTTTATAAGCTCCTCATTTTCAGCAAATGGTTTTGGCTTCAGCGCTGGTACATGGACTTCCTCATAACCCTTGTGTGGAGTTCTATAAGATCCAGGAGGGAGTTCACATTTTTTGTTTGCCATCAAAAGTCCACCCTGATGGAATGCAATACTCTCAAGATCAAGCAGCTGTCGCTGGCCCTTCAACCATCCGTTCTCTGCATCTCTATCAATAACCCTCCGTTCCCTATTTCTTTCCCCATCCTCCCGTCCATGTTCATCCTTCAATCTCCTTGCCTCCTCCCTTATGCTCTTCTCCAAATTCTTTTGACGCTCTTTGGCAGATGCTCTTGTGGCATGCAACTGCTCCAAGATTGCAGACAAGCTCGGTCCCATGTTTGTCATTTCTTCTTCAATCTTCTTCCTCTGCTCCTGGTCTTCTGCCCTAGCCAACCTGGTACACCATACTATCTTGAGACGATTTCTCAGAAGCAATTTGATGAGGTCAAACTTCTCATACTCTAGAAGCATCACAAGCCGGTTTTCTACGTCCCTGTCATCCCCTTCAGCCAATATCTTGAGGACATCCTCAGCAAGCTTCTGGCTGTGCTGAGGGTCAATTTCATCATAAGCTTGAGATATCTTTCTCTGAAGCCAATAAGCATCGATGTCCTGGACATTTAAAGTTAAACCTTCTTTAGCTTCTTCCATCTCATCATCATCTAGGCCACCCATTTGCATACCCCCAGCACCATTTGATTCCCGAATATCCTCATCGTCATCATCAGATTCTTCTTGGACCTGATATTCACAAGGCAACAGAAACAAGATTACTAAACAGGTAATAATTAAATTAAAAAACATTAATAGGAAAAAAATGCTTTGCTAAGAATTTTAGCAGCCCTTCCTGGTGATATCGTGTATTCATTTTCAACTTTTTTTTAATGGTGACGAAAATAAGAGCCAAAAAATATTTTTACAAATTGCAATAAAACCCACTGTTTCATTCTCAACTTTCAAAAATATTCTCCAATGGGTAATCATATTGGAGCTATATATCATAGACTTCAATGTTTTCACACCTTAATAGTTTTATTGATAAATTTCCATTTTATGCAAGGAATTCTTATCGGGTAAAATCTAATGAATTCTTAACCTTATCAAACTTTATTCCAATCTTCTTTCTGGTTAATACATCTCTACATTTCGCAGACACTGTAGTTTCACAATTTCCGACTCCTTCAGTATTTTTAACAATAATTTCACCTTTCCTTTATTCAACAAATAGTACGTTTAATGATATTTTGAATACTTCCTTACCTATAAATTTTACTAAATAACTATAAATTCAATGTTTAGCCAAATGATTCAAAAATGCTGAAATAGTGAATGAATGATACCTGATCATAATCACTCTCTTCCTCCTCTTCATCCTCTTCAAACTCAACAGCGACGCCAATGTCATCATCTAGTGCATCCTCATTGCCATTTGCAGAAGCTGATCCCGCAGCATCACCTCCATCCTGATAGTCTGTTATCATCCGACCAAGTGAAACAAGTTGGTCAAACAACTGATTTGAAATGGGATTCAAAAGTTTCTCAATCTCCTTCTTCTTATCAGGATTCTTCATCTTATCGTTCTTTAAAACTGATAAAACTTCATCTGCTGCTCCTGCGAGGACATCTTGTGGCTGCCCACCAAACTGTTGTTGGATCACACTAAGCATATTCTCATATGCTGCAAGAGTCTCCTTTGTTTTTGGCTTGTAGACACCTTCATCGGCAAGGGAAAGAACACTCTCCTCTTGGATCCTCCGCCGCTTGCTATCTTTCTTTCCTTCAGGCTCAGCCGCTGCTGGATCTCGCTCTTTCTTCTTCTTAGATTTCTTTATCCTCTCTTCAATCTCAGCGGGCCTACCCCGAGAAGCTCGATCACCAAAATCTCTGGGATTAATCCTTCCATATAGAGACTCAGGCTCACCAGTGGGCTCATGGGTGTCCCGGGGTCGTGAGTCTGTTGTAAGTACAAGGCTGGAATTTGCACGGTACTCATACTGCTTAAACCTCGCATGTGCTTCAGCACCTCCTCCTAAATTGGCCATGGTCTATAGACCACAAAGCACACCCCCTGTGAATATGAAGTAAGCACAGAAACCAAATTAATTTCAATAGAACAGAAGAAAATTGTTTTATGATGACTTATATTAGTTTTTGTGCAACCTGCGCGTTAGGGGAGTTCCCTAAATGTGCAAAAATAATACCTTTTGAAGCTTACATATGAATATGAAAACTCCCCGGATAGCCAAAAGAGTAAATAAACAAAAGATTCAGACAACACTTTTGCAGAAATTCATAAATCACTCAATTAATAATGAATAATTTGTCAATAACTGAATTCAGTTTCCAAATAAATTCTTAAACTACCATCAAAATATAACAGAAAAAATAAAAAAATTCATGTAATCATAATAAAGACTAGAAACACAAATAGTAGACAAACATTTTCGGGGAAAAAATAGAGTCATAACACAAAACAATTACTGTAGGAAATCATCCACTAGGCTGCTTCTCAATATATTCAACTTTCTCAGAATCAAACTCAAAAATTATATCAAACTCACTAAATCTAAAGGCTGCTTCTAGCTTTCAGATTTTGAGCTAGATTACTAGTAAACGAAAAACTAAATAAAACTAAAAAATAAGCAAAAATCGAGAACTTACGCCAGAATCGACGCCGTTGAGGTCTACGTCGTAGATTATCACCGGAATTACGCCGGAAAATCGCCTCCCAGAAATCGAGCTAGGGTATGGGATCTAGGAGAGAGCTAAGATTGGAACTTAAAATTTTAGGGTTTGAGAAAACGGGTCGGGTATATAAATAGGCCCACTGTAAATGGGCTCATTCGGGTTAGATCATGTAATACCCATACCCGAATGCTAAGCAGGTCGGTTCATTGTGCTGGGTCGGATCCAAAATTAGTCGGTCTTATAATACCGGAAAGGGTTTTACCTATACACCCTCTAAATCAACAATATTGGCAAATTTACTCTATAAATCAATATATTTGCTAATTTACCCTCCGCTTTTGCCATATTGAGTTAAAATATCGCCAGTAGTTCTGTTAAAAATTATTTTATCATACTCCTAATCTTTTTGTTACTAGTTTTTACACACGTGCAATGCACGTGATTTAATACCATGATTAAGTATTTTTGGCAGTTTGTGCTTATTTTTTTCTTTAAACTCTTACATTCCGATTATTTTTTTTATGTTTGTTTAAATGGGATACACCCAATTTAAATTTTCATGTTAATATTTGAATTGACAAAAAACAAATATAATTTAAAAATAATTTGAATTTTCATATTATTTTTGACCGATATGAAACTAAGCTTTATTTGAGAAAGTATAGCATTGCAAAGTGAAAAATATTAAAATAGTGTTATACAAGGAAGGTGAATATTTAAAACCAATATGGCAAAATGATTGATTTAAGGGAAAAATGTTTTAAGGCCCCCCAAAAAAGATCCGGTTGTGGCCCAGCCCCCTCAATTAATTCCCTTAGCATTCAGCCCCATTAAATGGTGAAAAATGCGGCCCAGCCCTAAAACCTCATTCTTATACATGTATTGGGTGTATTTTGACCAACATACCTAAATTACCCTCTTCTCTCTCAAACGAAAACCGGCTAAATGGGTTCCGCCTCTGGCGGCGACCGCTCCCATCGCATTTAAGGCGAAGCGACAGAGGAAAGCGGGGGGAAAAAGCGCACGCTCCCTCCATTACTGTGCTGCTTCATCAGACGGTACTATAAATCTGTTAGTTCTAGCTCTCACTCTCTCATTAATGAAATTAGGGTATGTTCTTCAACTGTCAACCACGCATATGCGGCTGAAATCACCTCAATTACTCCTCACCTCCTCATAACTGTCCTCTAACTGTCCTCATAACTCTCAACCACCCAATGGCCGCCGATGACTTGATTTGCATGGTGTCTTTAGGCGAGAATGCCATATTTATGAAGCTAATGTCGACAACAAGCTTTTATGAACTGAAATATGGTGTGGCTGAAAGATTGAAAGTACCTGAAGAATCTTTTTTCCTGATATATAAATCTGAGAGGCACCCCAACCTGAGTTTTTCGGTTGAGAACGAAGCTGACCTAAAGTGCATGTTAGAGCACAATCGAAATATTGGTTGTACGGAGATTCATATGGAGGCTGCTGTTAATGTAGAGTGTTCCACGTCAGGGAAGAATCAGAAAGATATTAGGGAAATGTAAGTAATTAGTAAACTCTTTATAACATTGTGCTTAGTGTGATGTAAACACCGTTATCTTTTGGTCAACTTTCAATGACCCCTCTGGGCTTTAAATCCCCTGAATGTAACCGTATAACCGTCGTCATAAATTTGAACCCCCAACGGGTTCCAAAGAGTTAATGAGCATGGTGCCGTCAGGCGATAATGCTATATTCTGCATGGTTTTAAGTGCACGTTCGAACGCAAGTAAATAACTAGAATTGTTCTGATTAAAATGCAAGATGTTGATGCCAAGTAGTGTCCTACTGAGGAAAAAACAGAAAGTTATTACTGATTTGTAAGTAATAGAATGAACTCTGCTTGAAACTGGTATATGTGGGATGTTGAAATTGTAATTTTAGGTTTCGATGCTACTTTGGGGAAAAATAATTGTCAACGTTGATGGGTACATTTTAACCCTTCAGCTTACAGGTTAATTATCTAAGATATATGTTAACTATTATATGAACATGTTAACTCTCATTGGAACATGTTATACTTTTCTTGAACATGTTAACTTTCGTATTTATGTGTTAACTATGTCCATTGTCTGTTAAATTCCACTGCTCTATGTTAAGTTTTAATCAAAATGGTTAAATTTACACCCAGTTAGTTAACTTTTGGTGTGCTGTGTTAACCATGCATATTGTTAACTTTCATCATAGTGCTGGTAACTTAAGTTATAAGAAGATTATTTGACATAGTGTGCAGGATATCTCACTGTTTGATTAAATTGTGCAACAGGGATGCCTATTTGAATTCAGATTATAGTTGTCCTACTCGACATAATGCATCCAATTCAGAGAGAATCCAAACTGATTTTCCGTCTGGTGAGGTTGTAATGAGGGCTGATGATATTCTCAATAACACTTCGAGCATTCCTCAATGGTGGCACACAGCATTAACTGAAAAGGGGCAACAATTTGAAACCGTAACTGAATTGAGACTAGCTTTGCAATACTATTCCATCGCCAAAAAATTTGAATATGAATTTGTAAAGAATGAACCCAAACGTATCCGCGTTTGTTGTCGATATAAGGAGACGTATGGATGCCCTTGGATGCTCTATGCAGCTCCTGTTAAAAATGATAAAAGAATGGAAATCAAAAGGTTTGTGAATGAACACAGTTGCGGACAACATTCTAGCTTGTCAGGGCAATCACGGGCATCTCGCAAGTTCATAGCAGCCCAATTGCGACCGGTATTAAAGGCACGACCTGAAATCCGCCCAATTGATGTGCAAAAGGACTTCCTCACTCGTTTTGGATTGAGACTTGAATACAGTAAGATATGGTGGGCCAAAGAAAGAGCGCAGCAAGATATGTATGGTGATAGCTATGAGGCTTATGATCAATTAAGATGGTAAATATTACAGTTAATTTATAACTTGTGTGCAAATGTTTATCGTAGCCGCTTTAATGTTAATATGTTACCCTTATGTTCCAATGTATTATATTTATTTACATGTCCAGAAGCGGCATTGTTGTACAGGTATGAGCAAATGTTGAAGCAAACGAATCCAGGAAGCTACATTTGCATTGACCATAATGAAGGAAGGTTCAGGAGACTGTTTATATGTTATGCTGCTTGCATCCAGGGTTTCTTAAATGGCTGTAGACCCCTTTTATTTTTGGATGGGACCTTTTTGAAAGACAGATATAAAGGCATGCTTCTGAGCGCCATAGCCTATGACGGAGACCAAGGGATATTTCCACTTGCGTATTGTATATGTGATCAAGAAAATATTGATAATTGGAGATGGTTCCTACAAGGCCTGTGGTCCATACTGTATGAAAGGTTGGACCCGTACAATCCCCCCCACCAATTGGTAATTATTTCTGATGCTGACAAGGGGATTCGAGAAGCCGTGAGAGAATATTTCCCCGAAGCAATTCACTCACGCTGCGTTCTGCATCTAGTTGAAAATTTTAGATCAAAGCTCAAGGATTTGGGAATGAAGGCAAAGGACACATAGGTTTTGGGGAATTTGCTCCAAACTGCATGCTATAAATACACTATAGCGGAATGGAACGACTACATGAAGGAAATCTATGAGATGGCTCCAGTCGCATATGAGATTGCAATTAATTACTCGCCAGAGCATTGGGCAAATGCCTTCTTCCCTGGCATTAGGTATGCATTCAATCATTATGACGTTTTGCGGTTGATGTTAACTGTTATGCATATATGTGAAGTATCCTTTTTATAGGTTAACCTTCGCTGATATATGTTAACTTTAACCAATATATGTTAACTATGATGTTTTTATGTTAGCCTTTAGCAGTATAGGTTAAGTTTTATGGTCACTTGTTAAGAAGATAACATATTATATGCCCATCATACTTCCTATATGTTGTCCTTTGCAGATATGGCCATGTAACCTCTAATGTCGCAGAATCCTTTAACAGCTGGATACGTGAAGCCCGTTTGTTACGTATCCTGCAAATGGTGGAGCATATCCGAAAACAACTTATGACTCGCATGAACAACAGACGGATAATGGCGTGTAAGTGGACAAGCTATCTTTGTCCTAAAGCTGAGCAGATTGTTAGAGAAAATATGGAAAAAGGGCGCACTTTAGAGATTAGGCAATCTAGAGAGGATATTTTCGAAGTGCAATCACATAGAACCACTCACGTTGATTTGGAGAATAGGACATGCACTTGCCGAGCTTGGGACGTAACCCGTATTCCTTGTCTCCATGCTTGTGCAGTCATTATTTATATGAAAAGAGATGTATATCAATATTGTGATTGGTTCATGTCCGTAGAAACGTTTAAGAAGAGCTACGACGAAATACTATATCCCATACCAGACTATGAGAAGCGGAGTGAGCCCACAGATGAGATCCAGATTTTGCCACCAATTACCACTAAGAGGAGGGGAAGAAATAGAACAAGACGCATAAACAACAGAACCATATACAAACGGCCCGTCAAATGTTCTCGGTGCAAAGTTGAAGGTCACAATAGAGCAACCTGCAATGAGCCCATCCGTGACTAGTGTGTTTCAGCTTCTAACAACAATACTTTTGTATGAGACATATAGATGGTTTTAAAGTTGTTAAGTACAACTTTAAAACCATCTATATGTCTCATACAAAAGTATTGTTGTTAGAAGCTGAAACACACTAGTCACGGATGGGCTCATTGCAGGTTGCTCTATTGTGACCTTCAACTTTGCACCGAGAACATTTGACGGGCCGTTTGTATATGGTTCTGTTGTTTATGCGTCTTGTTCTATTTCTTCCCCTCCTCTTAGTGGTAAGTGGTGGCAAAATCTGGATTTCATCCTTGGGCACACTCCGCTTCTCATAGTCTGGTATGGGATATAATATTTCGTCGTAGCTCTTCTTAAACGCTTCTACGGACATGAACCAATCACAATATTGATATACATCTCTTTTCATATAAATAATGACTGCACAAGCATGGACACAAGGAATACGGGTTACGTCCCAAGCTCGGCAAGTGCATGTTCTATTCTCCAAATCAACGCGAGTGGTTCTATGTGATTGCACTTCGAAAATATCATCTCTAGATTGCCTA